TTTTTACATTAGTTACACTGTGGCTAGGATTTTTAAAATGGAGGGAGAGGAAAAGCCAAGAAAATAGGCATTGAACATAAATTTTAAAATAAATGCTTGCCTTGGCAATTATCATAATAAAAATACATGCTAGGTACACTTTAGCCATATCAAGTTTTTCTCTCTGTATATTTTGTCTTTGTTGAGTAATCCTAATGTCTTGGATACAAAATCATTTTGTTATATGCCATTAACTTAAGAGCTGGATACCTCAATGGGTGCTTCAATTCCTTGGCATAAAGATGGAGGAATGAGTATCCTTTATGTATGTGTGCTCTGTTCTGTTGGAATAGCTGAGTTATTTCAATACAAATGGCATCATCTTGGGTGTTCTAACTTCTTTAGAGGTATGTGCCTTTATTGCAAGATATTATGTTCAGCTATTCCAATTAGGCATGCAACTATCAAGTGTGTATTTACATCTCTGGAAATGAGGTTTTTTGGAAATGTTTGGTTTCTTTTAAATTACTGTTGTGTGCTTTTTTGAATGTTTTAAACTGCCGTATGGTGAGAAGTCTTTTTACTGCCTAGGAAATGTCTTTTTCTATTCTGCCCTTTGGCACTAATTGCCTCTGCAAAGCTACTGTGCAGGTTATGTGTGGGCTTACAAAAGCAGTGCTGCAAACTAATGGGGATAAAACTGGCTTTTTGGAGTTTAACGCATTGGGTTTGGATATTCAATTTTAAACAGAAATTATAATCAAATATGAAGAGAATGCTTTCTTGAGCCTGTTTTAAGAAGGAAATACTGTTTTGTCTTGCATAGCTCTAAAGGCAATGGCTGAAAAGTGAGGGTGAGTAAGCTTGCTGGGACGTACAGAGAAAGAAAAGTTCTCTCATTGTTTTCAGTGTCATAAGACCTTTAGAAATTATCAGAAAAGACTGGGAAATAACTGTATCCTATTATCCACGATAAAAGATTGTCAGAATATTTATCTCTTAACCAAGTGTTCTGAGTGGTTTTACTTAGCTTCCTCGCACATAGGTCATTTATCTTAGCAGTTATGTGAAATATCATTTTAGATTGTGGTTTAATTTCACAAGAGGCAAAACACTACGTGTCCAGATATGAGCATCAGAAGATAAACACGTGCATACCTCAGCTTTGAGGAATCCTGGAAGTAACTTTTTTCTCTGTCTGCTGTGTGGAAGGGTTTTTTCCTCTACATCTTGCAGCTGTATTTCTTCAGCGTTAGATCAATTTTATAAACAGTTTCAAGACCAAATACCATTGATGTAAGGGGAAAGTGGGAGGAGTGCTGTGGGTTTCCATAGAACTTCTTGCTAGCTGGCAGTGGAGCTATTCAGGAAGATGTGAGCAAGCTAGGGGAACACAAAGCTTGTCTGTCAGCTGTTAGAACTGGTTTGCTGATGACACAAAGCTGGGTGGAGTAGCTGAGGCTTCAGAATACTGTGCAGCCCTTCAGAAGGACCTGGGCAGAGAAGAACTGTCTAAAATTCAACGAAGGCAAATGCAGGGTCCTGCACCTGGGGAAGAATAATCCCCTGCACCAGTACAGGCTGAGATCTGACCTGCTGGAAAGCAGCTCTGCAGAGAAGGACCTGGGGGTCCTGGTGGACAACAAGCTGTCTGTGAGCCAGCAGTGTGTCATTGTGGCCAAGAAGGTTAACAGTATCGTGGGGTGCATTAGAAGAGCAGATTGAGGGAGGTGATCTTGCCACTCTACTCAGCCCTGATGAGATCACATCTGGAGTCCTGTGTCCAGTTCTGGGTTCCTCAGAACAAGAGAGACGTGGAGTTCCTGCAGCAAGTCCAGTGGAGGGCAATAAAGATGACTGAGGGACTGGAGCATCTCTCATATGAGGAAAGGCTGAGGGAGCTGGGCATGTTCAGCCTTGAGAGATGACTGAGAGGGGACCGCATCAATGTCTATAAGTATCTGAAATTAAGGTGTAAAGAGGAAGGATCCAGGCTCTTCTCTTGATAGTGCCAAACAATAGGACGAGACAGTGCGCAGAGACTAATGCACAGGAAGTTCCATCTGAATATGAGGAAGAACTTCTATCCTGTGTAGGTGACTGTGCACTGGAAGAGACTGCCCAGGGAGGTTGTACAGTCTCCTTCACTGGAGATATTCAGAACCCTCTGAATACAATCCTGTGCAGTGTGTTTTTAGGATGACCCTGCTTGAGCAGGGAGATTGGACCAGATGACCCACTGTGGTTCCTTCCAACCTTACCCTTACTTCTGAACTTCTGTGATTTGGTTGCAAATACTTGTGTTTTCAAGCCATTGTCTAATGTCAGATACAACTTCAGACATTTTCTGGTTTAGTGTGTTACTGTTATCTTATTTGTGTCAAAAATGGATTGCTAGTTCCTCTGTCAGCTAACATAAATAGGACAAGTTGAGAGGGAATAGTTTGATAACTAACAGTACATGAAGTAGCTCTTTATGTGATTGTTATGTCTCTTCAGGTAATTACTATTGTGTTTCAGCATGGCATTATCTGTCATAGGACTTCATTAATAAAAATCACAGTTGTCAAGCCCAGGATTTAATTTAGTAGAGTATATGCAAGCAGCAGTCCTGAAGTTAATTCATAATGTCATAAGGTTGCCATCCAAGCTACACTACCTAGTGTTCTTAGTGTGGTAGTTGGAAGTGCTGACTGCTGTTGCCTTCCTTCTTTTTCAGCCATGCTGCTCTTTGTTTTTCAATGGTTTCTCCAGGAACATGTGGTTCTAATAGCACAGCACAGTGTTCTGGTAGTATTGAATAAAACACAAAACTCAGTATCTGATTAAAAAGTATACACTTCAGATTTTGAGTGCTTTGTTGACGTGAAGGTAGTAGTATTTGCAAGAAACTGTTCGAAGATGGGAGTCTTATTGCCCTTTAAAGACTTATTTTATAAACAAGTCCTTCTTATGCATTGTTTGAGAATGTTATTGTCATGCCCTTACCTCAAAAGTCAAGAAACTGTTGTATTATGTAGCATTGGCTGCAATATGGCTCTTGGGTAACTCAAACACAGCTTCTAGGGTTACATTGTACAGCCAGCAGTTGTGCTTATGCTGGTATGTGAACTTTTGGGTAGCCTGAATCCACAGCTGTAAGGGGAAGCAGGACACTTGGCTGCTGAAAAAGAAATCCCAGGTTGCTCTGAGAATACAGATGCATTTCCGGCCCTGTTCTGCAATCACAATGGGGCTCTTGAGAAGTTGTTGCGCTCTTGGGGAGCAGATGTGATACTTGTTTGAGTGTCCAAGATGAGACGTGTTCTCTGGCTCCAAGTTGCAACCCGTACTTGAATGGTGGGACCCAGGGTTTGGGAAGGCAGGCCAAGCCTTTAACAGTTACAGTTATCCAGATATTGCTTGTTCGATGCAACTATAGAATTGAAATTTCCTGCTGTTTCTGAGCATTGAGTGCAAGATCTTCATCCAGAGAACCAGCTTGATGTCGTTTTCCTGTGCTTAATGTAACTCAGTGAAAATAGGCCCTTTCCTCCCTGTCCCTGCTTTACTTGTCCTTAGCTGTGCAGATCAGCTTGAAGGACATTTCCAAATTCACAGCTGGGACTGAGCTGCCTGAAATGAACCTCATGAAAGGAGCTTAAGCCTGTGAATGAAAAGATAAGTCACTGATTATATACTTAAATTGGACTACTGCAACCAGAGCTATTAAAGGCCTTCTGTGATAATATGTTGATATTTTTTTTAAATGATGGTGAAAACTAACTTGTTTTGACAGCTACTTCAGAAAAATCTGCTAGAACCATAGTCTGAAGCTGAGGAGGTATGCTAGGTGCTAAAGGTCTTGATTTCAGTTTGCTCTTGGAGGTATGCACACTCCCCGTGAAGAGCTGTGAACAGTATCCATTCTCTAGTGACAGCTGAGTGAATCTGCATAAATTTGCCCTTCTAGGAGCAGTTACTAATGTTATGTCTTCTAAAATACTGATCTTCTAGGGAAAAATGGAACACGGTTCCATTAGTCAAGCAGAACTTTTGAGGTTATATCAATGTGTAATGTGGACTTAATTGGAAGCTACTCATGTGAAAGAGCAAGGATTAGTTTAAAGTTAAAGGGAAAATTCTTTGGGAAAAATCTTCTTATTTCTCAGCTTATATGCTATCTCATTAAAATTCTGTATAGCCAGGGAGCTGTTTTCCCATTGCTAGGAGTGCCGGATTTATTACCATTCTTCCAACAAAAATGCAGATCCTTAGCTCTGAAAAACTTGTCTCTGATAGGAATGAATTTATGGATGGGCTTGCATTTTTGTCTTGTATATTTAGGCATAGTATGGATCTCCTGTTTATAGTAAAAGTTGAATCATCATGTGTAGGGACTTTGCTCATGAAAATATTTATTATGAGAGGTAGATTTGAAAACCTTTGTTACAATTACAGACTGATAAATACTAATTAAAATTTTTGCAGATCCTTTTGCATTTGAGGGATTCACCATACCATATCAACAACTACTTCCAGAGTGTGACTGGAATCATTTTAGGTGGTGTTTTATCTATGAAAATGTTTTCCCTTCTTATGATTCTTGAAATCCCTCAATGGGAATGGAAAGAACACTTAAAACTTATGCTAGTAACTTAAAGGTCTTAATAAATTTTTTTTCTGTATTACTGGGCAAACCCATGTGCTTTTCCAACGTGGGGAAACTTGTTATTTTAAGACCTCATTTCCTGTTTGTTTTTTTTTTTTTACCTTAAAATAACAATAGAGTTTTCCAAAAATGTTTCGAAACCTAAGTCTTGGAAAGGAAATTATTGGATATACCAGTTGTTCCTGTATTTCTCTTAGCCCCTACGTTAGGTCATATCAGCTGAATAATTATTTTAGTGTCTTCTAGTCCTAACTAGGTGTTGTACTAAGCAGAATGAAATGTATAGGCTTTCATTCTTTAAACTACCTTCTGGTTTCAACCCTAAATACTGATAAAAGGATAAATCTGATGCTTAACTGGTATCTCTTATTACAGAGGGAAGATTCTCTTTAACGTGATTACTTACAAGTAATATTACCTCATCATGGAAGAACTATCACCTGAAGAGATTCAGCTGAGGGCCAACCAGGTCACTGATGAGGTAAATATTGTAGGAAGATATCTAGGATTACAATACTTGCCTGATGAAATTAGAATATCCTTTTAAAAATAGGCAGACCAGGGTATTGATTCTGCAAGGGTATAGCTGAACATTTTAAATTTTCACTTTACTTGGCTAATACTGGAGTGAAGACTACTCCTAAAAATAAGAATGAATATAAACTTCTGAATTGTAAAGTCACCTGCTTGACCAAGCACTGATCACCCAGTCCTTATTACAGAGACACAATGCAGGTTGGGTACCTGCACTATTGTTAGCATATTGATGCTTCATGACTTTCTTATTTAACTAAAACTGATTTGAATATATCTCCTTTTATAATTACTTTCCAATGGGATAAGCAAAGTACTAGCAAGGACTAAAAACCAAGGAAAAAAAACCTAATGTGCTGCAGCTATGACTGTATTGTAGCATGTATTAAATATAGACAGGGTGATGAACTTTTATATGCTCATTGCCTTACTACAATAAACTGGTAAAGAAGATTTTCAGACACTCATAGATATATATATATATATACACTATCAATGCACTCATTTTAAAATTCTCTTTCTAGTCTTTGGAAAGCACAAGGAGGATTCTTGGTTTGGCCATTGAGGTAAGGAAAAACTTTAGAATTCCCTGTGGATTTAAGTATAAGAAGCAGCATGTTAACTGTCACAAAATGATGTTAATCAGCTTTTTGTCTTTCTCAAGACACATGTCAGAAGTTGCTGCTTTAATTCAGTAGTAGAGTTGGAATGACATAAACGTCATGAATTTCACATTATGTCAGATCACAGAAGGGTTGATATTCTTTTTACCTGTTTTCCTCTTAAACAAAATGACTTAATCTCCAAATGCTACAGATCAGTTATAAAAAGTCTGTGATGGTCATTTATGGCTTTCTCACTTGTTTCTCATAACATCTTTAATTTGTCTTTTAGCTTACTTTGCCTGTGAACAGTGTGAAAATGTCTCATTTTGAGGACAGTAGTGCTTTGTTGGGTGGGGTAATAGAGAATAGGGCTGCTTTTGCTTCTAAACAGAAGTAATTCTACATACACCTTACAATCTGTTAATCAGTTTTAACTTTAAAGATAAGATTGACAAAACTCTCAACACCCTTGTACGTGACTTGAACCAAATCTATATGTTGGGTTTATCTGAGTGAAGTTGTATGAGGAATCTACTCCCCTGCACTGTTATGGCTTGCTGAAGATGCTGCTGTTACCAGTGAGGCATTGGAATAGCATAGCCTAATGAATACCTCTCTAACACAAATGTTAAGTACATGTAATGAGCCAACAATAATTTCTCTTGATATCATAGTTTGGTGATTCATTCTATGCTGCCATGACTTTGAGCCAGCAAAGAGCTGTGTTGTAGTATATTCCTCAGTGCTGATTTCTTTTGCTTTGTGTTCTGAAACTACTAGTGATGGTCTTTTCTCTTCGTGATCTCTTGTGCTGAATTCTCAAGAATGGTTATGCAGGCTTTGTCTTGCTTTCTTCTATTCTGGCTTCCAGGATTAAAGCCTTGTCAGCCCTAATTAACGGCGTAGGGATAAAGAACAAACCCAATGCCACTTCTCGAAATGAGGCACAGCTAGGTCTGCCTTTTTAGCTTGACATTGTCATAGTTCAATCTGATTATTACAATACATTTTACCTCTTTTTTTAATGTAAAAAAAAAAGAGCCAAACCCTCACAAAAGCACTACTAAGTGAGATAGGCTGATAAGCAGCTCACCTGTTTCACTAACATACGATCTAATTTGAAACTTGGAATAGCTTTACTATAGAACTTATTTCTAGCACAGTGTTTTATTATAAACTTGGCTGGATTATCCAATTTAGTATCAAGACCTTCAGATTTTGCACTGCTGTATTGAAATCTGATTTTATATCTGCAACTGAATTTCTCTCTGCAGTCCCAGGATGTTGGCATCAAAACTATTACCATGCTAGATGAACAAGGAGGTAAGTTCTTCCTTCTTCCTCTCTAACACTGAGTCATTATTATGACTGTAAGAAAAAGATCATCATTCAAGAACTGTTGGTGAAACCTAAGGCTTATTAAAGACTACTTATGTGAAAATGTGATTTGTGAGTTGGTTTTTCACAAATGTTTGTAGTATTTAAAAGAGGTTTTTAAGTAGTTCAGAGATAATGTTAGTTACAATGTAATACAGAAGCTGCTTCTTTCCATCATCTCATGAATGTAATTGTGTGCATTTATTTTAAAAGTGCTACTCTAAGGATAGGGAATATATTTTTCATGTATTAAGCAAAATTTATCACTTAATATTTATCTTTAAAAAAAAATCCTAGATGGCAGGAAAGAAAAAAGGTTATGGTCTTACTATAAATATAGAACTGAAACTTCTAAGTTCCTGCTTGAAAGCAATGTTAAAGATAACACCCTCATCTTCCCCCAATTCGTGTTTATTCAGGTTACTTGTTTCTTTCCTAGAACAACTAAATCGCATAGAAGAAGGCATGGACCAGATAAATAAGGACATGAGAGAAGCTGAAAAGACACTGACAGAGCTCAACAAATGTTGTGGGCTCTGTGTCTGTCCTTGTAACAGGTCAGTTATATTGGTACTTGGGTCTGAACTTGTAGAATACTCCCAGTAGCTGCTGTACTGGGAGATGTTCACTAATAAAACAACTAAGTAAAAAATACTAGCAAAGTTGATCATTTTGGTTTGTAGAGCTGCATCCTTTTAAAGTTGTATAAGAGTAGCTAAAGCTTACTTGCATCTAACCACATGTTGTGCCCCTTTCCCTGTAAATATAGCTGCTGTATAACAACCTCCACAGTTGTGCCTTAATCTCCTTAAAGCTGATATTTAGTAGAATACTGTCAGTGTCCATACAGATGAGACCAAGTAGGACTGCAAATAAATATATAAGTGCCTGTCTCTGAGAAATTTGACTCCAAAAATCTTTTTATCACAAAAGCACTTTTGGACTAACTTACAAGCAAGAAAACTTACGTTTTGGGGAAGGAAAGTGATACTGGTTCTCTAGGCATTTAAAAAATATTCATGCTTTAGGGAGGGTGAGAGTAGGAAAAGACATTGGTGTTAAAGCTTTAATCTTCTCAATAATGGCTATATAAACTCTTGCAGACCTGTTTTGCAGTAGCTTCGTAATATCAGCGTTATGGCTACCACATCCAAGTCAGCTGAGTAATCTAATCTTGTATGGCACTTGATTTGTACTTTTAAACACCTGAACAGCCTGAACAATGATCAGAATTGTTTTTTGAAGGTGTGCTAGCTTTACCTGTAAGCAGCGTGTCAAATTGTTTTGAGTGAATTGGATATGACCATATTTCTGCCAAATGAAGGAGAAATAAATTATTTTGAGTGTGGTAACTGAAATAATTGTGTATTTGTTGTTTCTTGCTCTTTAGCATGAGCAAAAAAATACTATTCAACTGAGGCAGCAGAAGTTTAGATAGAAATTCCTTGGAGTAGCTGAGTCTGGTTATCTAGCAGAATACTTTGAGGATCATTTTGTATAGATATGAATGTGGCTTTTAAGACTGAAATCTTAGAGGTTGAAGCCCTTGAAAAGACAGATATTTCTGTCCTGACCTCTGGATAGATGTGCTTCCTGCTTTATATTGGTTGGATCACGCTGGTGGACTTTGAGCATTTTGACACACTCAGTCTTTGTTTTCTGTAGTTGATAGTCTTATTTCACTGAAGCTAAGCAGCTTATTGACACTGAGCAAGCTTAGAATTTGTGAACTCTTGTGGCACTCCAAGTACACAGATAACAAGAAAAGAAATAGAGTTGTGTACCAAATGGGCAGTAATGTGCAGAAAAAAAAAAATCTACCAGATAACTAGAGGGCAGTGCAGAAGAAGAAACAGTGAGTGTCTTTAATATATCTACTGGTACGTCAGTCTTTGTGTCAACACCGGAATTGTTTGTCAACCAGTTATCTCCAAAGCTTTTCATTTTTTTTTTCATAACCATAAAGCTAAATCAGAACACTTGGTGAATTAAATATTGCTTTTCTCCTAGGCTTAGGTTATGTATAAAACTTTCTAAAAGCACAATACTGGCAGTACTGTTCCACGATCTATGTACTAATAACAAGTTGCCTGTTTGTTGGTCTTTACTATTCTTTCTTCTCCGTTCTTTCCTCCATTCTCTCCTAACACTGACACTTGCTTTCTAAAAATGAAGACTAGGATCAGAAGCTGTATTCACTTAAACTGGTGAAAGTGGATTTTAGGACAAGGTCAGTCTTAGTAGTGTAGATGCATATTTAACCAGCTGTCTGAAGTGATGCTTCTGTTGTCTTTTTGCTTGCATGTGCATGATGTCTGTCTGCATGCAGGTCTCCTTGTGACTGTGATGTATTGTAATACTGATGTGAATAGAAAAACATCCATTACTACAGAGTAGTAGTTGTGGAAATGGTGAACAACTGCTTGAACCTTTGCTGGTATGGAAAATTGTATAAATAGCCTTAGTTTTAAAGAAATGAAACATGAGAGAAGTGAACATTTGAAATGTTCAATTGAATTTGAAAAACAGCTCTTAAAAACAGGTGGTGAGAAGTTTTGTTCTTAACTGGCTTAGTTTGTACAATGCTGTTTGTAGCTATCTCCTTCAGATGTGAAACTAGTTTTCAGGCCACTTGTTTTTTACTAGTAATGTCCTTACAGTTGCCTCTGAGACCTAAGACTTTGCTTATCCAGAAGCAAATCATACAGAATTCTCCTGCTGTTGTGCCTTTAGTATAAAAGAGATTAAAATATAATGCTCAATCTAGTTGCTGTAAGCCTAAAGAGATCTTTAAGCCTGTGTATGTACAAAGAGCTAGAATTGACTAGTTTAGGTTTCTTTAGGGTTTTGTTAGGTGCAGCCACTCTCATTGTGATCTGAGGAGTGATTCCATTTCTTCCCCTTCATGTATTTATTCTAGATTACTTTTTGTAGTATCTGACCTATGAAACACAATTTCCCATTTCAAATACATAAATGTCAGTAGAATTAGGGGGATATTTCCTCATTGCAGCTAATTTCACAATACTTCAAATGTATAACATCTGAGCTACTGAAAGGCACTGTATCTGTAGAAATTGATTACCTCTAACTGTAAAGTTAGATGTACTGAAAGACAATACAGATTTCCCTCCATGGGCTTTTAAAAAAGCAGAAAAGTGGCAGTGGAATCTGGATTTTCTATCTTAAACCTGGAAATGACAGAAAACAAGGTGAACGTGAGAATATTCTTCTCAAAATATGTTGTTTAGAGTTCATGAGAACTGACCCCAATTTAGATCAGGGGGTTTTTTGTTATATTTTTTTCCCCTCTTGCTTTTGTGGCTGTGTGATTCCTGAGATTGCTTCATGTCAGTGTGCTTTTAATTTTATTTTTTTCTTATGAATTACATGATAAAAGTGTAATGGTAAGTTGTTTTAATTTAATGGAGTTAGTACAGTTGAATTGCATAATGAATTAGCTATTTAAATATGATTACTGTTATTTTATAATCAAAATTACCCTGAGAAACATTAAAAAGAAAGACTTGGCAACAGAAAATATTTGATAAAAACCTGTAATGATTAATGGTTTTCTTGCATAGTGTAGCTGTTTGTGTTTGAGGAAGTTTTTTCATTCATCCCCGTTTCTTCCTGAAAAGTAACCAATCATGATTGGTTATACTAATGCCTGCTGTAAGTGCAACTTTATCTTATGACTTGTAAGCCTTCCTGCTACTGTCATAAGCTTCTGTCTTCCAGTGAAGTACATTAATTCTTGTGTTAAAGGTTAAGATCACAGTAATCGCTGTCCTTAAAATAACTCAGTTGTGTTCGTTCTATCAAGATACAAGAAATTGTATTATATAGATGAGGCTTTACCCATACAAAACTAAATCTCTTTAAGGCACAAGACAAATGTTTCTGAAAACCCTAGATTAATACTGAATTTCAGTCAGGAAGCCATATTTCTGAGGTAGTCATTCAGATTTCTTATCTTCATCTTTCTGGAGTAGGACGAAGAACTTTGAGGCCAGCAAGGCGTATAGAGCAACCTGGGGAGATGGAACAGAGAACTCTGCAGATCATGTGATATCCATGCAACCAAGAAGTATAAACCGGCAGCAGCCTCAGACTTCTGGAGGACCAAGTGGTGGATATATTACAAGGTTTGCTTGTTCATATTCCTTAATCTGGAAAGCAGAAATCATAAATTAGCAGTTGTCAGCTTCTTTCAGATGCATTTTAGGTAAAGTTGTTAAATAGTAAGTTGGAGGAGTTGTTACAGCTTGGAGAGGAGATGGCAGACACCTATGCTGTCAGTCTTGTAGTGCTTATCTTAAGCTTTTTTTTTTCATAATGGTGACATTGTAAGTCTGTGTCTAGATATGAGGACTATAGAGCTTAGTGCTCAGTTATTTAGAGGACTGTTCAAAAAAAAGGGACTCTTAGTCATAAAGTATATTTGAGATAAACTCATGTTTTAAAATTCCTCTGTTAGCTATTATTTTAATTTTTAAGGCTATTTTAGTAATAGTGGCTAGCTTAGCATGTCTTTTTTGGTAGATGCTTGCTTGGAATGCAAGGGGCATCGAAAAGGGAAAAACATACCTTGGCTTGAATACATTGTGCAACAAACAAGTCCTATTAGAGTAACTCTAGAGTAAAGCAAGTTCTTGATTCTTGAAACTTTACCTTTATTACAGAATAACAAATGATGCCAGAGAAGACGAAATGGATGAAAATCTTGCTCAAGTGGGAAACATTCTTGGGAATTTGAAAAACATGGCTTTGGATATGGGCAATGAGATTGATGCCCAGAATAAACAAATAGACCGGATAAATGTAAAGGTAAGTGTCAAAGGTGTTCTCTGCTTTCAGCTTAGAGGTTGTAACTGAGAAGTTACCAGGAATGTGCTACTGTCCTATCTATCTGTATTTGCAGTAAATACGCATTAAGGTTGTACCATCCTTTAGCTTGAAGTGATTTGAATGGGAGATATACCTTGATGTTTGGGTAAGAAGCGGAAGATTCAAATGCTTCAGAGTGTCAGGAAACCTAAATATACAGCACAGGTTACTACTTACTCTGGAAACAAATAAACTTGAAGGGATCAAAAGGAAAAACATTTACTGGAGATATAACTGAGGGATTGTTGCTTTCAGGAAGTCTTTTATGTGATAGGGAATAAGTATTTTTAAAAATAGCAAGGTTCTTCTGGAATTTCTGAGAAGTCATTAAAATAAATAAATATAAAATAAAACAGGTAATTCATTGCCCAAATTCTTGTGGACAACTTAATATTGGGGCTGGGAAGACTTTGGAATAATGAGGTTTATAGATGCACAGGGATATAGTCTGCCTTCATCTGCACATGAAGTTAGTCACAGTAAATTTCTTTTTTTATTACTTTATATTACTTAAATATTAGCTTCCCCAAACAGATTAAGCATATATAGATACGTTTGGTAGAAGGGGGTGTATTTCAAAGGGCAATTTAATGAGTATGTTAGGCCTATTTTAGAAATGTCCATATTAGAAGTTCTCTTAGAGACAACCTGGTTTAGAAAGGAAATTAAAGCTTTAATTATTAGTGTATATTAAAGATTTCAAAAAGTGGAAGTGAACACCAATTCCTGTAAAATTATAGTATTAAGACAAAATGGGGAGTTAAAAAATCTCAAGGTTAAAAATCTCACTGATATGTGCAGTAGGGCTTTTAAAAGCAAGAGAAATGGTGTTTTCTCAAATATATGGAGCTAGTTTGACAAAAATGCTGGTTGTACTTGTGTCAGCATTTCAAATTTGTCTAGTAATTAAGGGGTTGTTGTATTAATAAGGCAAATCAACATGATTCTATGGAGGATGCTTCAACTGTCTTCTACTGTTCTTGAAACTGTAGATCTGATTATCAGGTAAAAAAAGTCAAACATTTTAGAGTACACTAGAATATTCCTTGGAGTTTAAAATTAGGTGAGAAATTCTGACAACTTATAAAGCAGACTGAAAATTGCCTGGTCAAATAAACTGCAAGTGATAATTACTATTTTTAGCAATAGTATTTCTAGTAGATTAAAGCACCTGGTTTTGGCCTGATGCTCTTTTGTTTTTGTGGTCTGAATAAATCTTGCTCATCAAGTCTTACTAGTTCTTAAAATATGATGTATACAAGTTAGAATTGCTTTACAGAACACAATGAAAATGAAAGTGCAATTCCTGGCATTGAGACTGGCAGCCTGTCTCAGGATAATTAAATTAATCCTTTTCGTTGATAACTTCTTTTAATCTAGTGAACAGTATGAAACCCAGTCAAAATGTTGAGTGTAAATCTCCAAAGTGTACAGTATCATATAAAGAAACAAAAAGCAATATTAAGCTTAACTTCAGAACAGAGTTGATGCTTCTTTTTTTTTTTTTCTTTTTTAAATTCTAACTAATTTGTAAAATATATAGACTTGACTGGGTGACTTTTGGTAGTCTGCAATGGTATGCAGGACTTCTAATCTGAATAAACCTGTAATGAAACTTTTGTTGTTGGCTTTTTCTTAGAAGCAGATCTAGTTAGATCTGTGTGTTTTTGAAGTGTTGTTAATAGGTTAGAATCTCACTTGTCCATAGTAGATTCTTGCCCCTCCCTCTACCCTTGACCTGAAAGGCAGGAAGGAGAGAAAAGGAGGGAAGGACTTGAACTGCAGGTGTCCTCTTCCCAGCCCTTTGCAGTATGAAGTTGTGAAATAGCTAATACTTGGCACAGGTAGAACTTTTTAGGAGTTCCTCTAATGATGAGGACATTTCCCCACTGCAGGCTGGATAACTGGGGAATTATTTCAAAGCTCCTTGTCATACCTTTCAATAAAACTGTATTTTGACACTTGTTCCACCTAGATGTTGTGAGCTGATTTTTGATGCTTTACGGTAGTAAAACAATAATAATATAAAGAGCTTTTTTGTACAAATACCATATGCTTATGACAGTAGGACATTGGAGGGTGTGTGAATGAAAACCAGGGCTTTGCACTAAGCAAAATAATTCTGACTTTATGCCCATAGGTCTACTTTTGACTATTACTTCTAGTTCAGAGTAACTTTGTTGCTCTGTAGAGGTCCTTAAGATGTTCAAAGACTTGGAGAGAGGGAATTTTTATCTGCTCATTTTGTTAGTATTGTTCCTGACCAGCTGAGGCAAGCTGCTATGTTTTGAAAGTCTACAGCTAAGGAGTAAAAACTATTTCTCCTGATTTTGTTTCTCCCAAAATTGACAGCATATGCTGGCTTCCCTTCTGTCTGCCACAGTGATAATACATTGGAATTCAGAAGTTCGTGTCAGTTTGAATTTTTAAACTGTTTTGCATGGAGTTTGCAAATGACGTATGAATTTCTCTCTTTCAGGCCGATACAAACAGAGAACGCATTGAGCAAGCCAACATCAGAGCCAAGAAATTAATTGACAATTAAAGCCTGCAGTCATTGTTCAATGACACTCTCTCTCCAGCTGCAAACCACCATATTCATGGATCTGTGAAACTTCTATTCTTTAATAAGAGGGGCTGGGAAAAATGAAGCAGTACACTTTCTATAGTAATTAATTTTCCCTTATTGCTTCATGTAAACATGGCTTTGACTCAAAGAAAGCAGCCAGCTTCCTTCTACTCATCTGCCTTCACTTCCTCTATACTGCTCAGGGCTAAAAGTATTGGGGGCTTTGAGAATCTTCCTGCATGTTTTATTCCTCCTCCCAGTTTTTTTTTTGTTTTGTTTTTTTTTTTTAATTTTTTAAAAAAATGTCTTGCACCGAAAATACAGTCCTTTTATTGAAGTTGAACAAGCAGGGTAACCTGAATTCACAGTTGTGGAAAGTTGGAGAGGGCACTTTGCACTGTCTAAAATACCTCATAAGTTGAGTGTCTTCACTAAAATAGGGACTTGGTGAATATTGTCTAACTTGTATCTCTAGCATGCTAACCATAGCTTTACAATCCAAACCACATGATTGGTTTGGGGTTGAGTTTGTGGATCACAAAATTGAAGAGGCCCATTACTTACAGCTTGTGGGTTGAGGGCTTTAAAACACTTCCTAACCACACGAACTTGAAGGTAATGGTAACTGGAGGGATAAAGAGGTTTCCTGTAAATTGGCATCACTTTGGAGGCCATGACTAGGAAATCATGCTGCATTGTTCTGATATTTGTTGTGTGTATATATATATATGCCTGATCTAAACCCTGTGCACACGTGAGTAGAAGAAAATAAAACTTATCTCCCTAAAGTATTTATTTGATGGAAATTTTTACACCCCTCATCTGAAAGTTAACCAGTAAGCGTTTGAATGATGCATCTTAACCAGAAAAAACTGAGTAGAAAAGCATGCAGATCTCTTGCATCCCATATCTTATTCTCTTTTGGCCAGTTTTCACTGGAGTTCAGTTTATGCCTTTCTCCAGTGCAAAATAGTGACTGAAATCTGGTGCAGAGTTTGCTTGTCAGCAGTGACTTTGAGAGTACATTTTAAACCTATCAAAACCGGAAAAACTTATTATGTAACTTCTTTGTCACAGGTCTGGAGGAAGAAGTAGCTATTTATGAACTGTATGCTAGTTCTAAATAAACTAGTTCTAAATAGATTCGTGACTGGTTTATTATTGCAGATATTGGGACTGGCAATTGGAAATATATGTCCAAGTTACTTGCAACTAAAATGTTCCTGTTCTGTTGCAGAATAGAGGAGTTTCTGACCAGGTGAGGTAAAGCTCTTTCCTATGAAGAAAAATGTTTTGGTTTTACTGTAATATAATTAGATTTATATCCAGCATTTTTCTTTAAATCTTTGTAGTAGTTAAATTGCAAATGGCTTATATAATTTTAACTCCACCCAGCAATATACTATGCCTGTTTTAAAGCTGAAAATTATGCTTTGGAGTAACCTACGATACTTAGTGTTGGATGGCAAAAATCTTCAAATTGATTATAATTAAAACTAATAGCATTATGGGGTGTTTTTTGGGGAGGACAGTGTACAAGTATCCTCTAGCCCCTAATAATGAATCCTAGGGCTAGAGATGACACTAATCCATTGAAATGCTTAGACAGTGTTAGGGATGTTGTTTTCTTTTTAGCAGAAATACATGCAGTACTAGTGGTATATTTTCAGTTCACTCCCACCAGAACTTGATATTTAAAGAAAAAAACCAAAATCAGCAACCACACACACGCAAAACTCAACAAAAACCTAACCAAACAAAACAGAAAAACCTAAATGACTGACCAAAGGATGAAACAACTACATGTACTATAAATAGGCCAGTGGCAGTTTGCCCTATGTGAATAAGGTAAAGTCATTTTTAGGGCATTAGATACTTCAGTACTGTGGGTTGGCTCCTGTCTAGCTTCCAGTAATTGTTGGAAAGCCAATGAATTTCAAAAGCTCACTAGTTGCCCAATTAGTAAATGAAGATTATATGCTTAAAAACACAAGTAGCAAAGAAGTACTTTTAAGAACATGGCATAGTAAACTTCAAACAACCACCTGCATAAGAAAGTATAGGGAATTTGGATGAGCTTTTTTTCCTTCTTACAAATTTCAGGTTAACTGAAGGATTATTTGCTGCTAGTTGTGAAAGCAAAGTATACATTATTTAATTGTCTTCTTGGAACAGAAGACTGAAGTTGGTTACCTTTAGTCTGCTTACACAACGCAAACCTGCTCTGTAGAATTTAACATTCCAAATATTGGAATGTTTTTCTCCCTTGCCACTACAAGTCCATATTCTTGACTTGCCTGAGCTCTAACAACAAATTAACACGCTGTCTGACAGAATGCTGTGATGGGTATATCAGCATTGTAATATTGCAATGAATACCACACAAGGAAATAATTTCTGAGACTCTGAGCTTGAGTATTTGTGGAGCATCGATACTGTCTTCTCATCTGCAAGAGCCAAATGCGTGAGGGAGTTGGTGCCTTTAGGTTAGTGAACAACGCAGTCTGCTGCTTGGATTGTCTTACTGTTGTCTATAGAATAGATGCCTAATTTCTGTATCTATGATATGAAATCAACGCTTGTATATCTTTGTATGTCTGAATGCTATTGAGAATGAAGGCTTACAGTTTCTGCTTTTGATTGTTAAATTATATATTGTGCACAAAAAATACATACTTTTATAACTGAATGTGTTCTAAAATTATTTTCTCTTAAAAATGTCATTGTTTAGTTTCCTGTCCTTGAAAAACTTGGCAGAACTAGTTGCTACTATGCAACTAGGAAGTTTCTCTTCTATTTATTTCACAGAATAATACTAACAAAGTATAAGGTGTGGTTGGGAAGAGAGAATATTGTGATCTTTAACATTCTAGTTTGGATCCCTGTATAATCTACATCTCTGCGCTTCAAACTATGAACTGCGTCTCTCTCTTTGAAAGACTGCAATTTGACATGGGTGTATACTTCAGGATGATAAAGAAACAAAAAAAAACTTTAAAACTTTCCAGTCAAGTATCAGTAACAGATGCCTAGCAAATACATAGTCCAATAGGTAAAATCTAGGGATTTAACCTCCCACCAATGCAATTTCACTTGTGAGGCAATTTAATTTGTATTTTCTCTAATATGTAGAGCCTCAGATTCCCACAATGGTCTTAAAGGGGAGGTGTGCTGGGAAGTACAGACTTTTGTTGACTTGCAGCAGTTCTGAGCTGCAAGAGAGAGTAGCCTACCTGGGAAGGGCTTGGAACAAGTACTTCTAATATAGTATATTACTAATGTAGGAACAGCCTGCTTTTGTAACTATTCTGAGCAGGCAGCTCGTATCCCAGGGGTACACTTAAATGGCAATAATTGGTAAATTCAAGCTAGTCTATGCCTTGATGAAAGACCAATCTTCTTAACACAGCAATAGCTATAGTATGAATTGCTGCTTGTGCAGCTACCTCCAGAACTTACCTCTGTGAAGGCCATATGATGAAACAATTCACTGTTTACATGATGCAGTCACTAAGTTGCTAGTTCACCTTTGCTGCACTTGAAGCAGTGCAGTGTCTAAATGCTGTTTGAATAGATGGATGATGTATGTCTTACTGAAATGGAAAACTGGCGAGCCAAAGGTCTGAAATAAAATACATGAATGGTTTATTCTGTTAACTAGGGTAGCATCTTTTACTTCAGTCATTCCAAGGCTATGAAACTGCAAGTGTAATTGTGCATTGAAATAAATCATTTTATAACTTCATGTGTAGAGTGGAGATGATAAGAAGGGAAAACAAACTCCCACTATAAAACTACTCTAGATAATATAGAGCATTGAAATGAATAGAACAGCATTCTACGATGTTACTTGGTTACAGTTATTCACTGCTGTGAGTTAAACATGTAAGGGTGTCAGCCAGTTCTTTTTTCCTTGAAACAGTCTTCCCCTGTTCTGGAACAACTTTTGTTAATCCAGGACTAACTCTGCTCCAATCAGTATTATACATGGTGTGTTCTCTGTTTTGCTCTATAAAAGCTTTGATAGTTGTCATAACTCCGAAGTAGCAACAAAGCCTAACAATGAGTAACTGAAAAGTTTCTAAATGTATTATAGATCACATAAAAGAAATGTTGACTTACTTTCTCAAATGCTTCCAAAAGCAGTAACACATTTTTATAGCAATGCTAACTCCATAATTTTCAACTGTTCTACCATCTCTTCTTATACCTCTTTGTTGAAAACAAAAAAAGATAAATGAGAGAAGCATCATCTCTGAGCACAAATATTTCCTGTTAAAAATACCAAAATGCCACAGCACAGTATTGCCAAGTGTATACATATTGATAATAGACCACTCTAGAGTTGTCAGAGTTGGTGAATGCAAAGGGGAAATCTGTTAACTGAAGGGTTTTGTTCTGTTGATATCTCATGCACAGCAACTCTTCAGGAAAAACTAGTACTTCAAATAGGATTTAAGTATCAAGTGGAAGGAGGTAAACTTTAGAACAAGCCCATGGGCTTTATTCACTACTGGTTTTGCATGTCATAATCTGTGGAATCTATTATTATGAAGCTGAATAGATTTCTGACTACACAGGGCCTTGCATTATATGTTCCTAAAGCACTTCCCTAGTTATGTCTTGCCAAAAGTAGCCTCAGAAACATTGTCTGCCATCAGCTACTTATGAAAAGCTAGTAGTTTTTTTTCCATAAAGAGGTGGAATGGGATTCTTAAGTAAAACTGGTTGGTTGCCTGTTAAATGATGGATCACATCCATCCTGTGAATAAGGAGCTGATGTTCCCAAAAACTCTCCTCTCAAAATATTCCTATGTAAGAATTGAAATAGGATGGCAACAGGGAACTAGATACTTCGTAGCATTTTATAGAAGAATCACTTACTGGTAATCTTAATTCTGGCTGTTATGTTCAAGTGTAGCTGTTACCAGCAACTGACAGACCCAAGTACCTAAGTGAGGGCTTTCAGTGACAGCTTAGTACTACTTATTAAAAATGAAAACAGCAGGAGTTACACCAAATAAACTGATTTTTTGAAAATAATTTACTAAAATATACAAGTACATTTTCCTTTTCAGTATAAGTTACATAATTGTATACATTTTTACCTCTTTCTAGGTGCTTTTGGTAGTAAGGCAGCAGCAGTGAGCTGACGACTAAAACCTTCAGCATTGCTCTGTACACAAGGAGTCAGTGCAAGGATATTGTATTTTCTAGCAATATACATTTTTAGTAAATACACTGAAGATGAACTTAGTTTTTATTCAATACAGCTCAAGCAGAAGTGGACTGTAGTGCAATTCTTGCTTATGGGAAAAGAAAGCCTATACAGTAAAATAGGAATGAAGGATGCTCAAACCACAATTTGTTTACTGGAAGCTGTTAATAAAACATTTAACCACAACTACTTGTGCTTCATGAAAAAAACTTATACAGGTTTTAATGAAAACCTTGCCTATAAATGTTCTTCTCTGTAGAATAGTGCTTACTGCAAGACTTACAATGCTTTGGTGGTAGAACTTCCATGTGCTATCATGGAAAAATGTTTCCAGAAGAAATAATCCTCTTACAAATCAACAGCTTCGTGACAAAGGGGAACTGGCAACTTTGAAATGCTCATTCCCTTTCTCTGTGAAAGAACAAGCCTTGACAAAGGAGAACATGTACTGTGTTAAAAGCTATTGTGGCACAAAAATCAAAACTGGCCCCTGGGCAGGTTCATCAGTTCAATACCTACGTTCTCTAGTTCAAGTTTATTCAATGCGGCCTTAACAGGCTGTATCAGACTACTGGAGGAGGAGTACTCTGATCATTTCCTTCACCAGTCTTGGTTTAAGTCAGTGAAGCAGGTACTTCTAGTCTCTCTTCTTATTAGTAACATACAGGGTCAGAATAATGATCATGCAAACTTCTTCTTTGTAGCTGTAAATCGTTCCATGTACTACAAAGAAAACAAAAACAATCTAAAATTCAGAAAGTAATAGAGGATTCATTGCTGCTAAAAGCAGCTAAGCTGCTGCACTCAGACTCAAAAACATTCTGCATCTAAAGCATACTTTTATATCCAAAGTGTAACCATTAGAGCTTTAATTTCAAATTAACAAAAAACTCCCCAAAAATTTATGTCATTTGCTGCAATTCAGACTAATGGTCAAATTTAAAATGTTAAAGATGAACTACTCTTAAATACAAAGCATCCATTATTTTTTGTCCCATCAAAGTGAAGATGCACACTTGTCTTCATTAGCTACCCTTCAAGAGATGCTGATGAAAATCATTAAGCCCAAATTCTATGAGAAAGTTAATATTTGAACAACTCCTGATATTCTTTTTAGAGATAAGCTGTGAATCCAGTACCAGTGACAATACCAATATACTATTTTATGCTTTTATTCACCAGCATAAATGCTTAGTATTTTGAGGAGGTACTGGGTAAGGACTTCAGTTGTTAAAAAAAGACAAACAGAAAAACCCAACCAACCAAAGAAAAAAAACAACAAACCACCAAACCAAAAAAAAAAACACAAACCTTGTCATAACCTTCCAGTTCTCTGAGTTTCTTGATTTCAAAGAGGTTGCCTTCTACTGCAAGCAGTGAGATCTGGGAATCACTAAGGATACTCTGAGGAAGCATGCTGAGTTCTAGACAGTTTTCTTCTAAACGCAAGACTTTGAGGCGCGGACAGTGGGAGATCTGCACTGAGATCTGGGAAATCTTGTAGAAATAAACAGAAAAGAGAAATCAGATTGAAATGGTAGTGATCCATGATCTATAAAGTGACTTGTTTCAGACTTATACAGAACAATTACCATGGTGTAAATATAAACTACATTAATTACTTAGCAACAATGCATAAGCAACAAATTATCAAAAATCCAAGTAATTTTTTTTTTTTCATCCATGGTGACAGGCAACCTACACATCTGTTTACCGCATTCCTACTCGAGAACTGTTCAAATAATTTTCTGCCTGACTAAATTCAGGATTTGTTAATCAAATCAGGCACTTAGATATACTGGTACATAAATTCTAGTTATGACTCCTCATTTGTGTTGTGTCCAGATGTCTTTTAGCTATAAAGAGCTAAATGTCTTTTAGCTCTCATCTTATGTTCCGTGGATGTACTACGGCCAAGATACACCATGTTCTAAATCTAGATGCCCATAATATCTCAGTTACCAGACCTGATTCTGATTCAAATTGAGTTCGATAGCCTGCAGTTCTCCCACACTGTCGGGCACATTTTGGATCTGGTTTTTCGAAAGATCTACCACATCCAAGTGGCGAAGACCACAGAGTTGTGTGGGCACAGTCCGAAGCTGGTTTCCAGAAAGGCTCAGGGTTTTGAGAGCTGAAAGTTGTCCAAATGCAGCCGGTAACTGCCTCAAGTGATTGCCATTCAAGTGTAGCGTTTCCAGTTTTTTCAGTTTACACAGCTCCTCAGGTAAAGCATCTAGAAATAAATGACAGAACAAACATATGACCTGAACTAAGAGCAGTAAACATTCATACCTCTTTAATTCAAATAAGCTTCTGCATGGAGAACAGTACTATATTAAGTAATTTCTCACAGACTTATTCCCCATTTTCCATTCATCCCTCATTCCGCCAACACAGGTGTATAACCTCTAGCACTCCTGAGTTGCACTATAGAGTCAGTTACACTATGGAGTCAAAGGGTTTTAAAT